CCCGACTTAGGTTGAGTTCAGCTTATCACCCCTGCACGCATGGACAATCAGAGAGGACCATCCAGATCACTAGAAGACTTGTTGAGGTCTTGTGTGTTGGATAATCTAGGAAGTTGGGATGAGATCCTTCCATTAATAGAGTTCACGTATAATAACAACCTATCATGCCGATATCGGAATGGCACCATATGAGGCTCTTTATGGGAGGAGGTGTCAAACACCTTTATGTTGGTATCGGGATGAGGAGAAAGTGTTGATTGGACCCGAGCTACTCCAGCAGACTACGGAGAAGGTCCGGAAGGTACAAGAGAAGCCGAGAGCCGCTATGAGTAAACAAAAATCATATGCGGACCGCGAGGAGGAGACCTTTGGAATTTGAGGGGGAGACCATGTATTTTTGAGAATCGGACCTACTACTCGGAGTAGGAAGGGCAATTAAATCTAAGAAGTTGACTCCCAAGTTTATTGGCCCATATCAGATTTTGAAGAAGGTAGGTCCAAGTGGCATATCGCTTAGCATTGCCACCTCATTTGGCGAATCTGCACAATGTATTTCATGTATCTCGAGTTGAGGAAATATGTACATGACCCCAGTCATGTCCCGGAGTCGACAATGTGCAGATTAGAGACAATCTCTCCGTTGATGTGAGACCAAGTGAGGATAGAGGATTCTCACTCGAAGCAACTTAGAGGTAGAACTATCAAAATGGTGAAGGTAGTATGGGATCGGAAATCCGGAGACTTCACTTGGGAGATGGAGGATCGGATGCGAGAGTCTTATCCATATCTATTTCCAAGTAAGTTTATTTTCGAGGACGAAAATTTTTGTGGAGGGAGATTGTGACGTATGATTATTTTAATATTATATTAATATTATCGTGCAAGAAAACTTCGTAACGAAGTTTTCCTCATGCACGATAAAAATTTTCTTATATATGAATACCGAAGCGGGGAGGAGGGAAATCAAAAATTTTCCTCTCATCCTTCTTCTTCTATTGTCTAAGTTTCAAGCAACGAGACTCTACTCGTGCAGGATCTGGTAAAACGGGAGAGAACCTGAATTAAGTGGGAAAGCTTCGGTAGAAATACCATATCAAGTAAGGGGAAGTTTAATTCATTCAATATATGAAATTGAATTGCTGGGTACTCTGTGAATAATGAATAGGAGTAGAAATATGAAGTATTGGAATGTCTAATTTTGAAGAATGTCTAATTTTGAAGAATTCCTCATTTTGATGAACAGTTGATCGTTCCAAAGCTTTTTTTTTGAAATTATTGAAATTAAGAATGAATTATATACTAAAATTGTTGTTTTTAACTTAAATTGAACATGTTTATGGTTAAATTTTGATTTGGAACTAATTTGGGTGATTGAAACTGAGAAATTTGAAATCTGGATTTTTGAATGGCGGACTGGAAAATCTGCAAAACTCGCTCAAGCGAGAAATACGTCGCTTGAGCGAGTACGTGTGGAAAATGTGGGATCCTCGGGTTCTTTCTCGCTCAAGCGACAAATACATCGCTTGAGCGACTAAGGGTTATGTCTCGCTCAAGCGACAGCTGTACTCGCTTGAGCGACGAAGACTTCAAATAAAGGTGACCCTCGGGTCAATTCTCGCTCAAATGACCGTTGTACTCGCTTGAGCGACGAATGTCTTCAAACAAAGGGGACTCTAGGGTCAGGTCTCGCTCAAGCGACCGGTGTACTCGCTTGAGCGACGAAGCCTTCAAACCACGGGGATTCTCGGGTTCCATCTCGCTCAAGCGACCGCTGTACTCGCTTGAGCGAGCGAAGGAAGAAGAAAGGGATATGGTGTGGATTTTTAAAAGATTAAGGACAAAATAGTAATGATTTCGAAAATGATTTCAAAAATAGTTCGGAAATAGTTTCGGAAATGAATTCGGAAATGATTTTTAGGAAAATATATATATAAAGAGAGAGAAAGAATGAAAGTAGAGTATTGTGACGTGTGTGGGTCAGACTGAGCCTGAGGGCTGATGCCCAGAATCAGTCCTGAGACGTTATATATTGGCTAGACTGAGCCGGAGGGTTGGTGCCAGAATCAGTCAAATACTATTTTTATTGACTCGAATGAGCCGTGAGGACAGGTGGTCCAGAATCCGACAAATGTGAATAAATTTTGTATGTTTGAATGGTACCCGGGGTGGTACAGAGTACATTAGTGTAATAACTATGTTAGAGGATTCTGAATGAGGTCCCAGACTTCACTGATTGGTCGGGTCAGGTAGACTACGAGATCAGGTGGTGAGAAGTCGATGGGGGGATGACTGGTGGCGCGCTCGGAGGGGTACTCCAGTATGAGTGATGAAGGGCGCCAGTAATCCTACTCTGTGTGGAGGGTGGTCAGAATGGTACTGCGGGTACCGATCACAATGTGCCCACAGATGATAGCCTCTGAGTTCGGGCATAGTTAGAGTATACTTCCGGAAGGTGTCTTAGTGTGTTGATAATTTCGTAATTGAGCATAATATATAATTCTATATCTCGTTTTATTATATCGAATGATTTAATACTTACCCCTATTTTTCCATGTGGATGGGACTGCAATGATCACTTTTATGTGGGAGCAGATCAGGAGTTGAGAGATGGTGATGTGACTATTGGACGACGAGGATAGTTCGAGTGGGATAGCTTCGAGGGAGATACTTTTACATGTATAATATATAAATAAATCATGTTACTATATTTTGAAGTTCGTTAGTGAACTGGAATTTCAATACATGTTACAATTACATTAATATAATGTAAAATAGATGTTATTTACTTGTTTACTACTTTGCGAAGACATTATTATAGTAGCGATTTCTAGGGTCGTTACAATACTAGAACAATAATATATATAATTTAAATTATTTTCATATTATTTAAATTATAACATATATAACTTTTTTATAACAAATTAATTTTATAAAATAATATCAAAATTTATTCTAGGTCGATATTTAGTAGAAACGAATGCAATAAATCTTAGGGACATTCGTATTTTTTTATATAATTAATATTTTTAAATATTTTAATTTATATATATATATATATATATATATATATATATATATATATATATATATAATTCTTTGTTCACTCATTGTATATTTTTTTCTCTCAGACAAAATCTTTATATATAATATATATACGGTATATGACTACAAATAATACCTAATAAATATATTAAAACTAATTACAAATTATAGTTATAAACTTTATAAAACATATAGAAAATGTATTATATTAAACTTTATTTAATATTGTTTTCATAAAGTACATTGTTAGAATAGTTTATATAATTTTATAGTAAGATGAGATGAGATAGGAAGTACTGAAACGGTAAGATTGAAGGAAACGCGGTGTTAGTGGAAAATAAACAACCATTCATCTTCGTCTTCATCCTCGTCTCTAAACATTAAAGATGAGTAATTGTGTTCTGTTTATGTCAAATTTAAATTGAAATACTTAGCCAAACGCTTTAGCATCTTCTAACTCATCCTCTGCTTTCACGTAAATCACTCGGAAAATTTTGCATGCCTCACAAATGCAAATCCATTATTTGAGTATTACAAATTTAAATTTTACATTAATTAGAGATATAATTAAGTTATAATATATAAATAATTATAAAATTTATAATTTTTAATGTAAAATGAACAATATCTAATTTTTAATGTATATTAGATAATATTCAATTAATGATATACTAAGTAAAATGTCTAGTAAAACGTACAATGTACAATTGATATTGTATAATGTACAATTTAAAAGTGTAATGTTACATGCAAAATGGACAAAAATCAATTTAATTTAACTTGATTATTCAAATATTTTTGGTTCTCTGCTTTGGTGGTTCAATCTAATTTCCCATTCCATTTTTTCGCAGAGATGTATTCACACGTGGAACTTATACGAAAAGAAAATTTACAACATATTCTACGAAAGATTATATGTGTATCTTGTTTAGATTGTTGTTTATAAATAAATTTATGTGTTCATTTGTATAAGTAGGTTGTAATTTGGATTCCCAGATTTATTTTCTTTAAAAAGATATCATTGTCAATATTAAATAATATTTAATTAAGATTTGTGTAATTATAAAATATTATTTAATCTCTAAATTGATGACTTGAATAAGAAATTTTTACTCTTATATAATTTTTTTAATCAAATAAATTTTGAACATTTGTTTTCATAGATTAAAATAATTTTTTACGCGTCATCTATTATATATTAAAAAATATTAACTTTTTAAACTTTATTTTTATAACTTATTTTGTCTTAATATATTTTTCTTACATCGTCTGTGTCATGCTGGGTTGTGTTTACGTTATCTCTGTTTCTAAACCTATTTCCTTTGTTTTATTCTATATTTTATTATTATTTTTCATTATCTTTTCTTTATACCAAGTATTATTTATATTTATTTGACAGGAAATGATGGGCTCTCCAATTTAATGGTCCAGATCTTTACTTTCTACAAGAAACAATTATGGTCAAAATTATTTTTTCTTTAAAATAATTTAATTTATTCATTTTATTAATTCAATATTTTTATATAATTTGTAATTATTAACCAATAATAAAATCTTACATATTGTTTTCTTTAAACATTATAAAAAAAAATTCCTCTGATTCTTAGTTAAAATTTTAAATAACGTTAGTTCTTGAATTTTGTTCTGATTTTAACCCGAGTATATAGTCAAATATTACCATTTATAAATGATGACAGTTATTAATTATTAATTATATTATAATTTGCAATGATAATAAAATATTAGTTTAATTACATACAGTTTAATTATCATTTTTTATCAGTTTTATTATATAATATTTCTTTCGCATATTTGACTCTGATATTATATAATTATCATTTATAATTTTTCCTCTGATATTTCGCATATTAGTTTAATCTCAGGACAAGTATTTAGATTTGTCCGTACCTCTTCACAAGTATGGTCTAGATGAAAACTGGGAGGAGCCAAAAGTAATCTTACAAAAGCTCTGAGAGACTGAAGCACGCAGCAATAGCAAGTGACTGGGAAAACGTTGCATGTCCCAGGTATCATCAATCGTCCTGTTACGAAGTTTAATGGATCGAATCACAATTGAATCGTCCCGATGCGAAGTTTAATGGATCGAATCACAATTAAATCTTGACGCTTAAACTCTTAAAGTAAAAAGAGTTGGGTTCTAACTAAAAGTTATAGCTTTTGGTATAGTGGTAAGAACACGATCCTAACACTCAAGGTGCCAACCATGTTCATGTTGTGGAAGAGCTGCGAAAACTCAGTGATCAACAATGTTGGATTGCAAGATATCAAGGGTAATACTGCCTTCTTCTGCTTTGCTGTGTTGGAAACATGCCTATTGTTGAACTATTACTTAAAAGAAATCCACAATTACCAAGAATTAGGGGTGGAAATGGACACACCCCTATTCAGTTTGCTATCATGCAAGGAAAATGTCACATGGCAGAGTTTCTGTATGATGAGACCAAAGAAATATTTGAAGATGCAGACAGAAAAGCTTATTCTTCGTCTGTGTCAAAACTGGCAACTATGCATTTCTTGTTCAACGTGACATGAGAGTTTATTACAGAATAGTTTGCTTCTTATTAAGAATCATTCAAAAATCATCTTTTAAACTGTAATTATTGATACATGAGGTTGATTCACCATCATCATCTGCAATTTTAATATTCTTGTCTATTCTCATCTCACGTTATGCTATATACAACTTTTATAAGTCACTGCCTTGAAGTTAATATGTGGACTGGTAACAGTTCTTATCTCCGTAGCATGCATGATTGTAGCATTTGTCAGTTCCTTCTTCATATCGTACGCCTATGGTTTGAAGATGGTTCCTGATTTAATTTCACTCGTTGCATGTACATTTATTCAATTCTACAATTTCATGTGCACCGTTGCTTCTGTAAATAACTCTACAATTTCAGTTATGGCGGGATATCATCTATTCAACCTTCTACTGTAAAACTCTATTTAGGCCCAGTAAACGTATGATCTACCTTTAGTTGTAGAAGACAAAGTTCTAATGGAAATAAAAATAAAATTTTTTAAATTTTTATGGCTAAGATATTTCATTTTGAAAGTCTATAAGTCTACTCGTCAAGACGTATAGATGAGTTACGAGATAAAAATGTATATAAATTATATTTAATATCGATTCTTAATATATAAGTGAGACTCATAAATATATCATAACAATAACTTATATAATTTAAATTATTTTAACATTATTTAATTTATAAGATATATAATTTTTTATAACAAATTATATCTTTAATATCAATTTCTAACCTACGTGAGACTCATAAATATATCATAACAATAATTTATATAATTTAAATTATTTTAACATTATTTAATTTATAAGATATATAATTTTTTATAACAAATTAATTTTATAATGTGAAAAAAACCCGTTATTTTTTATAACAACTAGGCATTGCATCGGGCAGGGGTGGGTTTTGGCTCCCGATCCTCGTCCCAATTTTTTTAACCATTTCGTTTCTCGCCTCGATTCCTACCGGAGTTAGAAAATAAGTCTCCATTCCCCTCTCAGTTGGGTTTCGGATTTTCTCGCCTCCCATTTATAATATTTTAAAAAAGATAATTATATTTATAATAAAATAATTTTACTATGTATTTTTTATACATAAATAAATATATAATTTTATAATTTAAAATTATTATTAATTAAATATATATTTTTTAATTTATTATATTTATATTAAAATATGTATATAATAGAATATTTAATCATTTTATATATATATATAGAATATTTATAATAATAATATTATTATTATTATAACACTGTATTCAAATATTTGAATATTTATAACATTATTAATACTATTATAATATTGTATTTAAACATTTGATTACATATATTAATTCTTATTTAATTAGTTCGAAGTAATAAAAGTTTAAATTATCAATTTCTTTTAATATTTTAAAATATAATTATTTTATTAAGACAAAATTTGATATATGATAAATAAGAATAATAAGATAAAAAATTATGACATAATAAAAACTAATAAATATAAATTATAAATAAAATAATATTAGTTATTACTAAGATTTATGTAAAATATTTAGAAAAAGATAAAGAAAAAAAATTAACTTTGTGTTCATCAAATTAGTTGAAAATATTTAAAAAAAATTGATGGGAGAGATTAAGAAAATGTGAAAAAAATAGAAAGGTAAGAGAGAAGATAATGTAATAAATTAATTGATATAAAAGATTAAAAAAGAAAAAAAATAAAAAGTAGGTAGACGAAAAATAAAAATAGTGAAATATAAAAAAAATTAACTTATATGTAATAGAAACGAGAAAAGGAAATACTTTTAAAATATTAATATTTTAAAATTTAAATTTAAATATAAAGTCGGGCCGGGACGAGGTCGAGGTCGGGATTGTATTACCCATCTCGCCCCGCCTCGCCTTCGACTTTTTAAAGCGGGGAAAAATCGAATCTGTCCCGCCCGGTCAACTTCGGGTTTTTCTTGTCAAACTCGGGGTGAAGATGGGTCGATCCCCATGAGTACTGAGTTTAATTGTCATGCCTAATAACAACTTGATTTTATAATTACGATGCAAAAAAAATAAATCATAAAATGGATGTTTTTTTATGAATCAAGTGTTGTCAGCATGCTTCATGGAGCGTGCACGCAAAACACATGTTCTTTTCTCCAATTTATTATATCAATGTAATAGTGAAAATGAAAAATAAATTATGTAGGATTATTATATATTGTCTGAGATTTTTTTTCTAATAAATAATTAGTAGTTACGTGTATGTAATACATAACTTAAATCTATATATTATTTTATATATACATATATGATTATTATTTTATCGTACATATATTATTTTATATATATATATATATATACACTGTTATTTTGTCCATATCTTATTTTGTGCATATATTATTTTATATAATAAAAAAAAGATTATGTATAATTATTATATATTGCGGGAGACTTTTTTTAATAATAAAGAATTAAAAGTTACGTGTATGAAATATATGATTTAAATCTACGTACATGTAAAATATTATTTTATTCATATATTATTTTATACCTATATTATTTTATTCACATATTTTTTTACATATATTATTTTATTCACATATTTTTTTTTACATATATTATGTTCATAATAGAATATAAAGCATGAAGAACTGAAAAAAAACAAAAAAAATTGCATGAAACGTACTGCTGAGTTTTGTACGCTTATTGCAACGGTTGATGCTACCGCAGTATTTTCTACTGCAATTAACATACCAGCTGGTATTGATCAATCCAAAAATTCAAAACCAAATTTTTTGGACCAATCATCATTTTTGTGGTGTTTGCAACATCAGACGGAACAACTCTCATATCTCATCTGCTACTGCAATATTAATATTCTTGTCTATTCTCATGTCACGTTATGCTATATATATGACTTTTATAAGTCACTACCATTGAAGTTAATAGGTGGACGGTTAACACTTTCTATCTCCATATGCATAATGGTAACATGTGTCAGTTCCTTTCTCGTATCGTATGCCTATGGTTTGAAGATCGTTATGATTTAATTTCACTTGTTGCATGTGTACCGTTGTTTCTGTATATAACTCTACAATTTTCGTTATGGCGCGATATCATCTATTCAACCTTCTACTCTAAAACTCTGTCTAGGCCCAGAAAATGTATGATCTGCCATTAGAGATTAGTTAGAGGTTTGTCATCAATAACACATTTTCATTTTTTTTTGTATTATTTTGGCTTCAAAATTAATAGTTAATATAGTATGATATTCACCGTTCTTATTGAGACGAGACTCTGTCAGGTATTTGACAAATAAATAAAATAAATATTATAAATTTATTCATATTTAAATAACGTGATTTGTGTATATTTTATTAACAATTTTATAATTTTAAATTCAAAAAATTAATAATACAAATATATTAAATAAAATATTATAATTTATTATTTTAATATTTTGATGCATATAATCTTAAAAATAATAAAATATTTAATTTAAAATTTTATAAAATTTGATTCATATAAAAATTATATTTATATATAATATAATATTATTATATATCATGAATCAAACAGTGCATGATAAGAACGTAAATAAAAAAAATATGAAATTAAAGAAGGCCCAATTAGAGAACCTAGTTTACAGGGGCCGAAAACCCCTACAACTTTATGAAGATCCAATTACACAATGAAACCTAGTCTATGAAGGCCCACGTGATAAAGAAGATAATGAGGACTGAGAATTAAAATGTCTTTATTATTATTTAGTATTTTTTAAGTTAAATTATAATGATTTATGATAAATAATTATAAAATAATATTTTATTAGATTTTTTAATCTCCAACTTAATTATGTTTTACTTAATCATCGTATTACCTTATTTATACAAGTGATAATCATTTATCAAAATCTTAAAATTTAGTATTAACAAGTGATAATCATTAATCAAAATCTTGAAATTTAGTATTATTATTCTCATTCGTTACTATTTTATCAAAAAATATTTATATTAAATCTTTTAAAACGTTTTTTAAGTAGATTTTTTATGTAAATTCATAAAAAAAAACTAAAGAAATGTGTGTTGGAAACATTAATATAATACAAAACAAAAGTAAATAGCAAAAATACAAGAAATTTATGTGGTTCAGTCAAAGTGATCTATCTACAGCTGTACTAGATGATAATTCTCATTTCCACCATTAGGTTTACAATTATATGAATATTTATAATAAAAGAATAAGTAAATGAGTCAAGTCTAACAACTTTTCAGACTTCACATATTTAGCAATCTCCCACTTGGAGGCTGATCACATGAAACACACTCCAAAATAAAATCTAGTAAACCTTAAAGTTATAACAACCTCAAACTAGTGTAATGTATTCCCAATAATTAACCATGAATGTCAGTTGAAGTTATGTAAAACTTCAACTTTTTGGTCAACATATATGTAGGATTCTCTAATCCAAGGATATTTTTCAAAACACAAAGTACCATCACTCATACCTCAATTGGATGTGCATTGTTCTTTCATGAAAAATATGATTGTTTACAAGATGAATGACACTCTGACTATCGCTATAAAGAATATTGTCACATTGTTTCTTGCCTAGCTCCTCAAGAAAATTCTTTAACCAAATCATTTTCTTATTGGCTTCCGAAATAGCCATGTACTATGCTTCTGTGATTGAAAGTGCAACACTTTTCTAAAGTCGAGACATTCAATTAACTATTGTGCGGCCTATTGTGAAGACAAATCATGTAGTACTCTTCCTTGTGTCTAAACAATCTCCCAAATCTGCATCCGAATATCCTTTCAAAATGATATCATTTCTTCTAAAACATAATGCAGTTTTAGAAGTACATTTCAAGTAGCGTAACAACCACTTGACAACTTTCCAATGTTTCCTTCCTGGAATAGACATGAATTGACTAACAACTCTCACTGCATGAGCAATGTCTGGTATAGTGCATACCATTGCATACATTAAGCTACCGACTGTAGATGTATAAGGAACTTTAGTCATTGATGTCTTATCTTGTCTAAGGTGACTACTCCTCTTGAGTGAGATTAAAGTGAATTCCCAAAGGTGTACTTACAATTTTAGCATCATGCATATTGAATTTCTCTAACACTTTCCCAATATAATTCTCCTGATAATATTAGGGAACCTTTGAAGTTGTTCCTGATGATATTCATATCCAAAAGTGCAGTAGCAATAGATGACTCGTCTCACTACAAACTAAACTAAGAACTGAGAATAGAAAATGGGGACGAGACAAAATAGCAGTTCTCACCTTAAGCTAGGAGATTATGATTGTGTATTATCGTAAGACCTCTATTTATAGGGGATTGAATAAGAGAAATTAAGCCTAAAATTAATTACAATAAAATCAAATATTTCTCAAATAAATAATTGCAAAATTGGATTGTTGTGAAGAGAAATTTTTGGGACTGATTTGGAGAAAATAATCTATTTTTTTCCTATTTTAAGTGATTACTGCATCGATTTACATTTAATTCTTGATTCCTACTTGACCTTTAATTCAGCTAAATTGAATTCTCGTACCACTTAATTTGCTTGATTCCAAATTTTCATTTGTAACATTTTGCAAGTGGGTTGCACAAGCAAACTTGGACTTTCAAAAAGAGTGAAGTTTGGTGACATCAATTTGGACATTTTTTTCCATCAATTTGGCTCAATCTGTATCTCTCCTACAAAAGAAAAAAAATAAATATATAATATGGATGTATGCATGTATATTGTTTAGTATGCTAAAACTATGTAAAATACAACAAATTAAGAAAAATTGAATTATGTTATGCTTTTAATGAAAACATGCTAAATGCATGGTTTATGAATAAAATAATTAACTTAGAAAATGCTCTTAGATCAAGAGATAAAGAGTAAAATGACATTCATCAATGAGTGTAATGCGGCAGTTACACTAGTTGAGGCCAGTTTGAAGTTTGACAATGATAAAGATGAGAAGCCTGTAAATGATACTGTTTATAGACAAATGATTTACTGCCTATGGTACTTGTGTTGTAGTAGGTCAAATATTTGTTTTGATGTTGAATTACTGAACAGATTTATGGAGAAACCCAAAACTCTCATCTTGAAACAATTAAGAGAGTTTTGAGGTATATAAAGGGGACGATCAATTTTGGTATTCTATTACCAAATGTTATACATCAAAGTGGAGGAGATTTGAACAGATATTTTGATTCTGACTAGGCTGATAATAAAGTTGGGTTCAAAACCACATCAGGTTAAGTATTCCTATTGGAAAAATCTCTTATTTCATAAGGCTCGAAGGTGACACTCTCCATTACGAAACTAAATACATGGTTACCGCTTACACAACTTGTCAATCATTGTGGATCAAGAGTTTAATGAATCAAGTCCTTGAAAGATCAAGAAGATAATGAAACTAAAGATTGATAATAAGTCAACTATCAATTTAGCTAAAAATTTAATTCATCATGGGAGAAGTAAACATATCGAACTGAGATCTCACTTTATCAGAGATGAAGTAAGGAAGAAAAAGTTGAAGCTTGAGTATTACGACGACAAAGCCTTTAAATAATTGAAGGTTCGAAAAGTTAAAAAAGAGTTTGAATATTAATTTGATTATTGAATTAGGGGATTGTATTAGATGATAATTGATGATAACATTCTGTTTGTACAAACTACTGATAAAAAAACAAATTGCTAAATTAATACAGTATAACTAACTCATGTTGAATTTTGTAAAGACAATTATAGGAATATATGCATTGCCAAACATAATTCTCTATAAAACAATAAATAATAATAAAGGGGTTGATGATAATAAAATGAAAGAGTGAAAAAATATAAATTGATGCAGAATAATACAAATTAAAATCAAATTATAATAAAATAATAATGACAATTAAATTGAAACAAAATTTAAATAACTTGAATTTATAAATTAAAACATAGTGATTTTAATTAAATTTGAATATTGCCAAAATAAAATGTAGAATAAAAAAATTTCTTTAAAATAAAATAGTGCAGTAATTAAATTAAATTTTTTTAAAAGTGATAAACCTAAAATTAAATTGAGAATTATACGCGAACGAAGTAATAAAAGAAAACCGAACAATAAAAAAATGAATTCAAAAATTAAAATTTGTGCATGAGTGAAATTCCATGAAAGTAATAAAATTGTAATTGAAATCAGAAAATAGATGAAATAAAAATGGAAATTAGGTAGTAATGGAATAAAATAAAAATTGTAAACAATTAAATAACATAAATTAAATTGAGCACTGAATGAATAAAATAAATAAAACAATATAAATTGGAAAATTTAATAGGAATTACAAATTAAATAAAAGATAATAAACTAGAAGTGTAATAATAATATATTAGTTTGCCTAATTAAAAATTAAACTAAAAATTGAGAACGAAAAAGAAAACAAGACAAAATAAAACACCAGCTTTTTTATCTTGTCCTTGTTTTCTTTTTCAAACTTTGTTATCTGCTATAGCCTATAGGAATGAAACTAAGAAGAGAAAGATAATACAAGCAATCATTCGGGTTACAAGAATGATTCTGGTGGCAAAAAGGGTTCTAACAATGGCAAAGGAAATCAAATGATTCAGGAGGAGATTTTCTGGGCAATAAGCAAGATTCTGCAGGAAAAAATAGTTCTAAAAAGCCAAGGTCGAAATTAAAACAATACCAAATGTCAAACAGGTACACCTTTGACCAAATTTTCTTAATTTGTAGCATCTGTACTTTCAAGTTACATCGTTTTTATTTTTATTTTAAAATTACTTTTGTTTGTATTATTCTTTTTATTAACTACTAATTAAATTATAATTTTATTTGAATAATTAAGAATAATTAAATCACATACCACATGTAAATATATATAACTCGCATTTACTCTCTCTTTTTTTTTTTTGCAGGTATGTATGTGGGAAGAAAATATACAGCAACAAACTCTACTACTAGTTTAAAGATTCAATGTTTAACGTGATTAAAGTCTAGGGTTTACAAACTACTTTGTTCTAAAGAAACAAGTCCACATTGTTATTAGCTAGTGAACTATGAATTTCAGATTCACATGCCTTTATTTATTTATTTATACTCATATGTGTATTGGTTTACCAAGTAGCATGTTATAATCAAAGTCCAAGTTAATTTCTTTATTATTATTATTTTAAAAATACTAAAAACAAGCTAATAAATATTTAGAAAAATTAAAACGACCAACACGAAACCCTAATGCAAGTTGTTTTATTATATTATTTTAAATTATGATTTGGACGTCAACACAAAACAGCTTTTTTAAAAGAAAAAGAAAAAAAGTCTCTTTTTATTCTGTCTGAGGCCAACAATTAATGATAATCGTTTAACAGCAAAACAACAATGTACACGTACACAAATTACTTATTAAAATATTAGATTAAAAACACAACAATTTTTAATAGGAAAATCTCATTAAATAATTTCTAAGTTACTTCAAATTTTTTATAAATTACTTCGTATTTATAAAAATAGATTAAAAAAATGGATGAAAAAATATGGTGTGAATGCCAAACAATACGTAACTATGTTTGACCATTCAAAACGAGGCGCAAAAGAAAGAGGTAATGAAACTGTGAAAGAAAGCTTGCAGCCGAAGGAATTATATTGGTTCATTCTTCTCAGTAGCATTTGCATTGCACCGTTACTTCTCCAAAAACCTATAAATATGTGCATATGCTTCATCAACATTCACTGCAAAACGTTGTTTCCTACATCAACTTGAAGCGTTTATACAATACGAGGTTGAAGAAGGGCAGCATGAGTTGTAAAAGCATATCCCTTGCAAGTCTTACCCCTCATACAAGACCTCCTCCTCCGACCAATAACCCCAAACCCACATCCTCAGGAGTTTCATTACCAACAACTCAGAAAGCGTTTTCAAAGAATGGTGAGAAGAAGACTCAAGGGGAAGCATCTCATGGAAGAGTTATTTTCTAGTTTACTCCAATTTATTTGTTTCATTATGTAATTGTTTTCATTCAAATTTCTCTTTTTTAAAATGTCTTGATTATTGTTGTTGTTATTAGTTGTAACAAAAATTCATTCCCAATAATTAACGAATTTATACCGAATGATTCGGGTATTTTTCTTCTGTTTATAGTTCACATGTTGAGATTTCTGCTGAAAACCAATTACAGCAGCAAAGTGAGTGGCATTCAATCTGCTTCCAGATACATGTTTAACCGATAATAACTTAACGTTCTTCCATTCATGGACGAATAAACATAACATTTTCTTTTTTTTCTATAACAATCCTAGAGAGAAAAAGTTAATACTTCAACCCATTTATTTTCATTTGTGATTCCAAGACTTCACTTAAAGGATTCCTCACAAACCAAATGCAAAACTCAACCGAATCTTCTCCAGCTTCCGGCGCGGTTCTTCCGGCGCATAAGCTGACGGAGGCGTCAGTGTGCGTGACGAAGCGGCGGAGGCGGAGGTGGAGGGGCGGCAGAGCGAGTGAGGGTACTCGCAGCCGGTGATGGCAGTGGACCTGCTGTGGAACGCGGTGTTTCTTGTCATCAGCGCGTCGGTGCTGTGACTGGGCGCGGCGGAGGAGCCGTGCCGCTGAGGAGGTGAATTATGGAGTATTTGGTGCAGTGCAGGGCATAGGTCTGGATGGTGCATGAAAATCAAAAGAAAATAATAAAATGAGGTTAGAATTATGAGGAATTCAAGCGATGAATGGTGATTTAGAATAACATTTCTGAGGTCGGTCATGAAGGTAACTTGAAGAACAAGTTCGGGCACAGCTAAGCTAGGCGCTTGCTGCTGAGGGAGAGAAATAACATTTACAGAAGAATTGTAAAATTTTTAATGATTAAAATGAAACACAAAAATAAATTAAAATTACATACAGTATATAATTAGTCATTTTTTCTCTTATTTATATAATTAAATAAAAGTTACATTTATATAATTAAACCTTTATATGGTTTTCTCAAATATTTGACTATTCAAAAGAAAACAGAGAGTAATTAAAAGTTTGCCAGGTTGGCAATGAAACCGCGGAAACTAGCTTGTAGTTCAAGCTACCATTGGCAATGAAAGGGAATATATAGTCGGGCTCCACAATTCCTTCTATTAATTAAATAATAATAATAATAATATATAATATTATATTAATATTTTCAATTGTATGATGGATGTATGGGTTATCTTATCTACATATTAAACATACAAATGCTCATTCAATTACATGGCATGTTCCTTCTACAGAACAATCTTTACGACGTTCTCTAACCTATAACTATCTCTGCATAAAACCTTACATTGTTCCCCTACCACAACTTCAATACTTTCTCTTTCAGCATCATAATACACCTTGATTCCCTCAGCATCAAGTCACCACTCTCCATCTACAAATTAAGCACCATGAGTTCTAAAAACATAACCATTCAATATTATGCTCTTGCCACTCTACATCTTCTGCAATTTCATCGCCTACTATGCAGAACGTTTTTTCAAGGAAGTACGTGAAGAAGACTTAACAGCGACACGTACGAGGGAGGAAAATATACAGCAACAAATTTAACTAATCTTTAGTTACAACATGATTAGAGTCTAGGGTTTACAAAAACTACTTTGTTCCAAACAAATAACCCCGAACCCACGTCCTCGTTTTCGAAGAAGACTCAAGAGAAAGCATCTCATGGAAGACTAATTTTCTAGTTTACTCTAATTTAGTTGTTTGATTATGTTTGTTTTTAAAGTTGTGCATCTTTTCAAACTTCTCTTCTTGTAAAATAGCTTCATTATTGTTGTTAATAGTGGTAACAAATTCATTTTCAATAATTTGTTTATATACTAAGGAATTTATACCGAATGATTCGGATATTTTTCTTCTGTTCATATTTCACATGAGATTTCTGCACAAAACCAAGTACAGCAAAGTGATTGCCATTGAATCTGCTTCCACGCACATATTTAACTGATATTAATTAAAAATATATGTCCCAAATGAAATGAAATTAACTAAAAATTATTTTGTAATAGCTGCCCAGGGAGGTTATGTTTATTCATAATATGCAGACTGGAAAATTTGTTTAATGTGACAGTCTAATATTATTCTGACTAACAACATATTGATAAATTAAGTTTTAATTCTTTTGAAAAATACTTTACTTTTTTAAAACATCTCATTTCATACGTTGACACAGTATATTTAGATGCATGTCATGTTTTGTACTAGCTAAAAACATAAATCACTTAAAGAAGAATTTTAAAATTTATATTTATAATGATTAAAAAATTAACCAAAAATCAAAATTAAAACTAAAAAATAAATAAATGAATCATATTTATTTGAACTAATGAAAGTACCGCACTGTAACACCTGTAAATCCAAAATTATATTACGAACTATATTACCATAATTTTTATAACAATAAAGAAAATAACATTATTATTATGATACACAAAATCGTGTTATAAAAAGTTATATATAACGTGTAAAAGTGTATGTCTACACTTTTTATAATATTAATTTTTTTTTAAATATTATTATTAATTTTTAAAAATATTTTTTATTTTATTTACAATTAGTAAGATAGGAAAATAAAATATTTATTATTTTATTTTTAATTATAACTAATGATGCATCGGTACTTTATATATATATATATATATATATATATATATATATATATATATATATATCTAGAGTTATATATTAATTTTATTTTATATTTATTTATTTATATTTAATTATGTATTAGTTATATTTTATATTTATTTTCAGTTACATAATAGACCTTATTTATTAATTTATATTTATTATTTAATTATTTTTAAATTTATTTAAAAAATAATACTTATTTACTAAAATATGATAATATTATAGATAAAAGTTGGACTTTGAGATTAAAATGAGTAAATATCACTTAAAATTTTTATATTTTTTTGTTTATTTATCCTTATCAGTTACTGAAAATTTAATTCAAATATTCATAATATAAAATGAATGAAAATTTAATTCAAATATTCATAATATAAAATGAATAAAATATGTTGATGAAATTATAAAATTGATTTTGTATATTATTTTAAGATAATATTATTTTTCTGTTTTTACTTTCCTATTTTATCTCTTTTACATGTTAATATCAACTTAAATAAATGAATATGTCAGGTTTGAAGACATATATCATTGATAAATTAATATTTTTAAATAAAAAATATTTGTCAATTTTAATAATTATTTCTTATATAAATTTATAAAATTCATATGTTTGTAAATATTAATATATAAATATTTATCTCATATTTTATTTTTATCAAAATTTAATAAAAAATAATTATCTCTTAAAATATAATTAAATTAATAATTAAAAAAAACCTCTAAAGTTCCTTGGCACATCTAAATTAATTAAAAGAATATTAAATACTAAGAAATGGAATGGAAGTTTGTTTTTCCATTAATAATGTATTTGAACATGTGTTGTGAGGAACAAAGTTGAACAAATATCTGGTAATTAGTAAGATGAAGACGTGAAAATTTGAAATATTGAAATTGGTGAATAATTAGGTTCATAGATCTTGATCATCTTGGTCGTGTGTCGTGCATTTTGGTTTCATTGGACTGTAATTAACGCGGGTTCATTTGTGTAGAAGAAGAGGTAGTTAATGTTTGAATTGTGTCAAGGTTTCTTTACTGAACATACATGCATTTATTGTTACGTGATTAAAGTATTCGCGTCCAAATTAATTTTAATAATATTCAGTCAAATCTACTTTATTTCATCGGATGAATTTATTTCTTTCCCTTTTTAAAATAAGATATAGTAATATTAAACATGACAAAATAAGTGGGTTTGCTTAAAAAATAGTTTAGTTTATCAAAACAAAAATTTGGTTATTATATTTTTAAAATATATAAATATATTATAATATTATAATTTAAATTATAAATATTAATAAATTATATTTAAGTTAATTATTATAACTAATTATTTGAACATATAGGTAGAATAATTTTTTAATTTATCAAATAAAAATATTAATTAATAAAGTAAAAATTAAAAAATATTTCTATAATTAAATATATATCTTTAAATAAATACATAAAAAATATTGGTGAATTGTCTTATTAACTCATCTATTTTAATTATGAAACGTATTATAAATATAATGATGTCAAATTTAATTTCTCAGTTGGCTAGATTCAAACAAATTTGAAGCAAAGTGTGAAGGTAGACTTTGAATCTTGACTTGATTGAACAGTGGTGTTCCTCATAATTCATTTTGGGCCAGTCCTTTCCTTTTCCTATTCTCACCTCCTTTTTTCTTCTTTCTCTCACCCTCCTTTCTATTTGTCAATGTTACATGCTTATTCATGATTTTTCACTCTGCATATACATAGAAGATAGCACTTGTTTTGATGAAATGGGTGATTTTGGTATTAATCTAGACAAAAATTTAAATGATGAGATTCTGTACTTAGTTTCATATGAATTATTTACAAACAAAATGTTCTTCCTGATTTTTTAATTTATTTTTTATTTCATTTGTCATGAGTTTTACTTGGTCCTTTCATTTTTTTTAATTTTTTTTTCTCCTTTGTATAACAATTTTGATATGCTTTTTCACATAAGCCTTTCATAAAAAAAATTAAATTAGGGCTAACTTTTTGGGCGACACTAAACTGTTGGTTTAAATGAATTAAAAAAAAAAAAAACTACTCTGACCAACATCATTAAGCGACCAAATCAACTTCTGAATAAAAAATCATAAGAATGTTTTCAATTGTTTATTATTTAGTGATTGACATGGTTGACTTTAAAGTCATCACTATTTTGGTTTCCACATTGGAGACACGGGTTCGCCACCTCCCATGTGCGAATTTCTCATTAATTTCATTTATTAAAAAAATTCATTAATTTTAAAATCAAAGGCACCATACATATTAACTAGTATTTATTTTCAAAGAATATATTATATCTATAAATTCATTTACTTTAATAAAAAAATTACAATTTTTTCATTTTCACTATTTTTAATATAATAATAAAAATAAATTATTATTTTATATCATTAAATTTTAAAAATTATTATATATATATATATATATAATCAATTATTTGACTTAAAAAATATACACTGAAATATATTTATTCTCTAAAATGAAATAAAATATGTATTATTTATTTATAAGATATAATTAGATTATTAAAAAAACTAAAATATTTTATAATTATACCAATTAGATATAATATTATATTCAATAATATTCTTTTAAAAAATAAATAAAAGAAAGTGAATCTTCACCCAATGAAGACTGTCAAATTTGATCAATGGCATATCCGTAGACTATCCATTTTCTTTTGAAGAACCCTCAAATTATATCTTCTATCAGTTTCACCAGCCAAAAGAGAAAAAAAAAAAAACTATTCATCCACTAATGCAAAAAAGGTTTTTTACGTCAGGTATTTTGGGTTTTTTATGTCATATTTAAGACTGACGTTAAAATGGGAGATATAAATTTACGTCGGACCCTTAGCATGACGTAAATTCACGTCAGTTATCAAGACCCGACGTTAATTTACGTTGTATTTACACTAAAAAAACATAAAAAAATATCAAAAATTAAAAAATTTGGAGCAAATTTACGTCACATATTGTTATACGCG